AGTTGCAAACTATGGCAAGAAAAACGTAACACACACTTACAAATTCTGCAGAATTATGCAGTAAAAATAGGGCAAAGTGTAGAAAAATTAAAAATAGAACACTAAAACAGAGTAACTAACAAATTCAATGCAAAATTAACACCAAAGTCCCCGGCAACGGCACTAATTTGATGAACAATTATTTTTCTCGTTTGCAAAAAGATTTGTCGTCAACCTTCATCAAAATATGCAGAAAATTTATGTAGTCTAGGATGCAAGCCTAGGTTGTTTCCAACGACTTTGGTTTGTAACATATATTGAACATGTTGTAAATATTTACTATAAAAGCAGTTAAAGCAAGGGAGTTTTGTGTAATTCCAATTTTAATGTAAAGGCAAGTGATGAAATTAATGAATCCAATCAATGAAATGAGCAATCCTTAGTTTGTTCATGTAATTCTATCCCTATCTCACTCAAGATTCAATACTTTTCCTATTCCTTTGAATTAGGGTAACTCAAAAAGTAAGAATTAACCTTAACGTCCCACACAAATTAAGCAATCTTCATGGGCTCCAACTCTTTTCCCCAAGATTACGCAACCTTAGGAACTAACTTAGGATTAAGTAAACTAAGCTAAGAATTTCATTAAAACGAATTAGGGTTAATTAAGCAATATCCCCCTCATTCAACCATTAATTCAATTCAAAGAGTTGAGAAATATAAATTCATCAAGAAAAGGGAATTATATTGACATTCATACCCAAGAATTCAAGAATCCATGAACTCACTAAGGATTACAAGAAAGTTTAGCCCTCTATAAGGCTGGGTCTTACAAATTCAAGATGAAAACAAGGAAAATTCAACATTATCAATGCAAGAATTAAAGGAAAATGAAGAGAAATTGTAAATCAAACCCTAAGATTGGCCTTAACTGTCACCCAAGGACCTTAAGCTCTGCAAAATGCTCCCCAAAGTGGCAAAAGAATCTAAAGTTATGTAAAAAGCTCCGTACCCTAATTTCTCAAATCCTATTTATAGCGCAGAAGTTTTTGCCCAAAGTAACTACTATGGTTTCATAGTGATGACGCGCAGCGCTCTATAGTGTTTACGCGCAAGTCCTGTGATTTGGGCCTCTCTGGAGTTATCACTTTGGCTTCAGAGTGATAACGCGCAGCGCTCTATAGTAGTTACTCTCGCTCTATAATGTATATACGTTAGTCCTTTTGGTATTAGAGTGATAACTTTGGTTGCTCCAGAGTGTCTACTATGGTCCCAAAGTAAGCACGCGCAGTACTTCTTCAAAATGGGTCTCTGTAGTTGTCACTATGGGTTCATAGTGATCACTTTAGTCTGCCCTTTTGGACTTAGCTTGCTGTAGTGTTTACTATGGGATCCAAAGTGATCACTTTTATCTCAAACTTTCTCAAATGCTAAAAATCCATGGAAATAGTCTAGAAATTCCTACTTAATTATTCAAATGATCAAAATTGCAAACTATATCTATGTAAATCAATGTAAATTAACCAAAAATTAAGAAACCTATGATATTTGACCAAAGTGATGTTTTTATGTTATTTACACTTCTTAAGTTTACTTTTTCTATTAAGAAACATCAAAATGACAAGTAAAAATCCAATAAAATGTGGATTCATCACTAGGATCTTCTCGCTACAGCGAGAATGTCCCTGTAGGTCACTCTTAGTCTATATTTTCAATCAGTCCAAACATATCCATTATCAATCCATAATCAATATTCACATTTATACTTACATATTTATCCACAGATATTCACACACACATATTAATATCATTAACACATAAATCAAAATGCATATTCAATTAGAAACTCACAATTTATATAATAAACAAAATACCATTACAAAAATTTGGGCCGTTACACTCTCCAAAGTGTTAGTTTAAAATAAACCCTAACCTAATCGTCATCCCTGTCCTTCCGCTTGCTACTCTTTGTCACCTTCTCAACAGAAGTAATTTTGACTAGCAAGTGTACTAGTGTTATTGTAGCAAGTTATAAAAATTTTAGAACTATGTTTGAGTCCAAATATCGTCCTTAGGGAATAGAATTCTCAAATATCACTTCACAAGTCCACAATTATTTGAGCCTAACGAAATTCAGTTGAAGTTTGAAAGCAAAAACAACAAATATTAAACTCAACAAATATTAAACTCAAAAAATAGAACAGAACAAAGATCATGAAAATGTGTATTTAACAGATGTAGAAAACATAGTTAGGGACTTCTTTCACTAATGCTTCAGTGTTGATTCAATAAAGTTCTGAACTTACAAGTATTTAGATGGAATGACAATCAGTTTCGCAATATATTAATCAAAGGTTAATTCCTTAACTCAATGAATCTAACATTCAATTCAATTATTCTAATTCCTTAGATCTGGTTCAATTAAATATTGCATTAAGCATTAGAAACCAAAAGATTGCAAGATAAAGATGTCTGATTGATGAAACGATATTTGAGCTACTCGTCATGCAAAAGATTGTCGTTAATCCTCATCAAATATGCAAAGAAATGAATGCAGTACTAGGGTGTTATCCTAGGTCGTCTCCAAGGAATTTTTGGTTGAGAACATACATCGAACAAGTGTAAACATGTATTTTAAAGCAAGTAAATTGGGGGGAGGTTTGTCAATTTCTGGGTTTTAATCAAGAACGAAATGTAAATTTAATGAAATTCAATCAATTAAAATGAGTAATCCCTAGTCAAGCAATGAGTTCTATCATTATTCTTTCAAATGATTCAATAATCCCCTTTCTTTCCCTTGAATTAAGTTAATCTAACAAGCGAAGACTAACTTTAACATCCCAATTAAAATTAAGCATCTTAATGGGCTCCAATCTCTATCCCTAAGATTAAGCAACCTCAAGGATTAATCAAAATTAAGCAATTTTGAATTAGAATTTCGTTAGGTAAATTAGGGTTCATTAAGCAATGTTCCCTTCATGCAAATTCCATTTCATTCAGAGATTGGGGTTAATAAATTCAAGGAAAGAAAGATTTGTATTGCAATTAATCCCAAGAATTCAAGATTCATGTGCATTGACTAGGAATTACAAGAAAGTTTAGCCCTCCATATGGATGGGCTTCACAAATGAGAGAAAGAAATGCAAGAACGTAAACATCATTAATGTAAACTTAACAAAAATCAAAGGAGAAATTGGAAATTAAAACCTATAGAGGACCCTTGGCTGTCACCCAAGACTCCAATGTCGTAAGAAAATATCCCAATTTGACAAAGAGAAATTGTGTAAAGTGTCAAAAGTCCCGTACCCTAATTCCTAAAATCTATTTATAGTGGATGACATGTCACCAAAGTGTCCACTTTGGGCCTTCAAAGTGTCCACGCGCAGGATGGAAGGAATGCCGCTTCTCTGGAGTTGCTACTATTTGTGCTGAAAGTAGCTACTTTGGATGGGCGTAGCTACTATGAGAGCCCATAGTAACCACGCGCAGGAAGGCTTCAAAATCAGCGTCCAGGAGCTTCTGAAGTTGCCACTTTTGGTCTTCAAAGTAACTACTTTGGATGCGCGTAGCTACTATGAGAGCCCATAGTAACCACGCGCATCATGCTTCAAAATTGGCGTCCCTGGAGCTTCTGGAGTTGCCACTTTTGCTCCTCAAAGTGGCTACTTTGGGACCTTTAATGCCCAGGCTTGCTGTAGTTGCTACTTTTGCTCCTCAAAGTGGCTACTTTGTGGGCAACTTTCATTCAAGGACCAAGATTTCTCAAATTTAACTTGGGCATTCTGCAAATTAACCAAAAATTAATAAACCTATGATATTTATTCAAAATGTGATTTCTATATTATTTTCACTATCTAAGTCTATTTTTTCTATCAAGAAGCATAAAAAAGGCAAGTAAAAATATAATAAAAAGTGGATTCATCACTTATCCTTAAGAAATCAAAAATCTTGGTAATTGATTCAGATATGAGAAACAAGTTCAACTTCCATTGATAAAAGTTCCTTAGTAATTAGTTAATCAAATTTCCATTCAACAACTACTTGAAAAGCAGAATCAATTACTCAATCCAATTCAACACTCAAAGTTCAGATCCAAAATAATTCAACACTTCGATTTCAGATCCATAATCCCTAACTACAAAGAGTTTAAGCAACCATTACAAAATGAAAAGAGAAAGAAAGAAAAGAAGAAGATGAACGAAGAAGCATCTTCAAGCCAATCTTCAATCTTATTCCTCAAGATTTGAAGCTTGGTGTTCGTCCCCAATTTCTCTCTTAGACTCTCTCAACACCAGAAAACAAATGGAAAGTAAAAATGAACAAAAGATCCCAATAGATCTGAGCTAATTTGTATGTTGGTAATGAGGCCAGTACTTCATCAGCTCTTGAAACTTTGTCGCATACTCCCCCACAGTCATGCTTTCTTGTTTCAGGTCAAGGAATTCTCGAGCCTTATGCTTCTTCAGATCTTGAGAGAAGTAGTTCCCTAGGAAGCTTGTCTTGAATGCTTTCTACAAAATATAGCCACCCTCTTGTAGTAACGTTTGACTGGCAAACCTCCACCAATCTTCTGCCTCCCGACATAGCATGTAGGTGGCTTAGGTTACTTTGTGCTCTTTCCTGCACCTCATTGCATGGAAGATTTTCTCCACGTTTGCTATCCATTTCTAGGCTCCTTCCAGATCAAACTTTGAAGGGTTATGCCTAGTGAAGGTAGACGGCCTTTGGTATTTAGCCAGCACTCCATCTTGGTTATGCACCAAGGCCTCTAGACCATCATTGGTGACACCAGCTCCTCTACCTCTACCAGCCATTTCTAATCTAATCTAGCAAAAATTTCAGCAAATCACATTCAACAAGTCAAATCGATAACAACATTTACAATTCAAGCAAACAAAACACACCAACACACAGTTTGGATGCTTCAGCCCCAATACCCCAGTCCAGTTTGGATGAAATGCTCTGATACCAAAATTGTAACACTTTAATTTAATTTTCAAATAAATAAATTTCACAAAAATGGAAATAATAAAATTTTTCATTCAAACGGTTCCCAATACATAGTTCAATAGAGTGTTTCAAAATAAGGATGAATTACAAGTTTATATCAAATCATTGCTACAAGACTAGTTCAAATACATCAGAGTTTTCAAAATAACTTTCTAAGTTCTATAGTAGTTTCATCCATTCCTTCACTGAGCCCATGCTAATTGTCTTGGTCACCTGAAAATTAAATGTAAAGGTGAGTACTTCACACTGTCAGACACAAGCACAGAGACTCATCTTGCACGTTTCACGCATTTACTACTATAATTTAAAGCATGCATCAATAGACACAAGTAACACTTCAACATTCCATTCCAATTCACATACAGGTGTGCTCACTACACCATCAAACAATCCACACACATGTGCGCTCACTACACGTAGCCATGCTCACTGTGGTACTATAATCACAGTTTCATGATGCTCTTAACCTTAGGGACTTACTCAATTTCATACCATGGATGGTTGTCGAATAGACCCTGCTCCACGGATACAACGGGTGCGGTACTAGGCCCCCTAAGCAAAGGTGTTAGTGAGAGGCCGAGTTAGGAGGAGAGTGTGTAGCTTATGGTGCACCCACACTCACTGTTGGTGTCACCACCACTCTCTCTTCCCTAAGGTATTTTTATCGCCCCCATCTTCCACACCCTAGTGTATCGCTAAACCATTCATAGTTTTTCAACACATTCAAACACAATCATATTCAACATGTCATTCTCACACATTCTCGCTCATTTTATATTATTCAACATCAATCAATGGCATGTCTACACATATTCACCCACATTCACATTCACTTCCACACATGGCACATATGCCTACATTCAATCACATTACACTTAAACATCAAATTTCCATAATAGCTCTACCACAATCATGTCACTTCATCACACATAATATCAACCTACATTGAAACTGTGTTTTTGATCCCCATTTCCATGGAGGGCTAAATTTTTGTGTAATCCTTAGTGAGTTCACATGGATTCTTGAGTTCCTTGATTTTAATGATAATATAACTCCTTTCTTTTCATGAATTACTTCTTCCTTGCCTCTTGAATTGAATTAATGGTGAATAAGGGGGACATTGCTTAATTAACCCTAATTCGTTTTAAGGAGATTCCATAATAGCTCTACCACAATCATGTCACTTCATCAAACATAATATCAACCAACATCTAATACGTCATGCCAAACACGAATTGTCCATCAAAACACACATAGCAAAATAAATGAATTTTAACAAAATGAGATAGGGTAGAGTCCCCCTTACCTCGGATTGAAGACCAAACACAATCTAACGGTAGAAAACGTTTCCCACACAGCGTTTCATCCTCCCAACGTCCCAAACACAATCTCAACATTCAATCTTGCTTACACTTTGGAGACAGTTTAATCGGTGAAATAGGGCTGGGAATCGAGAGAATCGAAAAAAAGACGAAGAGAAAAGAATGGGAATGTGTTTCCTGAACCCTAAACCTCTCAAATACCTTAGGAGTTGCGACACTCTCGCTATAGCAAGATATAGGTTTTTGGAAAATCTCGCTACAACGAGACTGCAGCCAGAAATGCATCATTCTCTATTGCCCTCTTGCTACAGCTATAATACCTTAATTTTAATAAATAATTTTTGCAAAAATAGGAATAATAAAAATTTCCATTTAAATAATTCCCAACACACAATTTCATCAAAGTGTTTCAATATAAGAAGGGTTTACAAATTTATATCAAATAACTGCTACAGGATTAATTCAATTACATCATATTTTCAAAATAAACAGTCTAAGCCCTATAGCAATATCATTCATCCCTTCACTGAGCCTGGTGCTGATCGTCTTGGTCACTAGAAAAATAAATGTAAAGGTGAGTACTCTATACCATCACACACACAAACAAGCATAAAGTCTCACCTTGTCTGTTCCACACACTTTCTAACGTATTCTAAATCAAACATCAGCAATCACAAGTAAAACATTCTATTTCAATTCACAGACAGGTACGCTTACTAAACCAACAAACATTCCACACACATGCACTCATTGCAAGTAGCCACACTCATTGTGGCACTGTGATCATAGTTTTATACCATGGATGGTCACTGGTTAGCCCTTGCCTCACGGATACAACACGTGCAGTCATGAGCCTTTTAGCAAAGTTGTTAGTCAGAGGTCGAGTCAGGAGGAGAGCATGTGGTCCGTGGTGCACCCACACTCACTGTTGGTGTCACCACCACCCTCTCTCTCCCAAGGTATTTCTACCCCCCATCTTCCACACCTCTAGTGTATCGCTGAACAGTTCATAGCTTCCAACATATTAACGATCGCATATAACATGCCATTCACACACATTTTCAGCCACATTCTCAATCACATATACTATTCATGTTCACACACGACACCCATGCCCACATTCATTTGCGTTACATTCAAACACACAACATTTCCAACACAATTCATTCCATCATACATAACATTTCTCTATACCGAAAACACTAAGTTCCATACAAGATTTCCACTATACCCTATTACAATCAAGTCATTTTCATCCATATGCACACCTTTCTACGTGTTATTTCAATCAAAACTCTACAAATAATAATATAAACATATTTTCAAGCAAAATGAGATAGGGTAGAGTCCTCCTTACCTCAAATCGAAGACCCAATACAATCTGATGGTAAAAAATGCCTCTCACGCAGTATCTCAGCCTCCAAATGCTCCAAACGTAATTACAACCTTCAATCTTACTCACAATCGACTTTGGAGGCAGTTTAATCGGTAAAATAAGGTTGAGAGTCGAGAGAATCGAAGAGAGTTTGAAGAGAAGGATGAGAAATGAGCTTCCCAAAATCCTAAACCCCTCAAATACCCCTTCAATCTTAGAGGAAACTGGATTATAGTTTCTGTAAAATCTCGCTACAGCGAGACTACACCCAAAAATGCACCTTCCACTGTCGCCCTCTCACTACAGCAAGGGAATTCTCGCTACAGCGAGAACGCGACAGTTTCACTCCTCCTCTCCCAGTGCCTTCTCGCTACAGCAAGAACGACACAATTTCCTGCTTTTCGCCTAGGGTTGTCTCGTTACAACGAGAACACTCTGCAACACACACTTAGCCTATTTTCAATCCAGTCCAGTCATCCAATCTCAATGCACAATCAGCAATCAAACTTAAAATTTCACGTATTCCCATTATATTACAAAAATATGGGGTGTTGCAATAGCGAAGGGACTTTCGTTGCAGCGAGAACGCAACAGATGCATGTCCTTCACCCAAGGCCTTCTCATTATAGCGAGAATGCCTCTGCAGCCCACACTTAGCCTATTTCTCATTCTATTTCAACCATAATATACAAATATATGTACATCCATACATATTTACACACATATTCACGTCACCGCACAAGTCAAACGCACATTCAATACTATTCACATATTTATATTAATAATCTAACAATATTATAAAATTTGGAGCGTTACAAACGATGTCTAATTTTAACTTCAAATGCATGATCCCCGTATTATTTTTATGCTAATATTGTAATGCATATAATTTGTTTTAATTCTTTCATATAAAAACTCTTAAAGTTAACATCTTTTGTTTACATATTTGTTCACTTTTGCTCAAATTTAGAGTTCACTTTTTTTTTTTAATTTCTCAACTAGGAATAAGTCATTCACAAAGATCATGCACTTTGGAATATTTTTTTGTATGTCAAGTTAAACAAGTAAAAATTCAAAGCTTTACTTTAATGTAGAATGATTCTTATAAGGAAGTCTTTAGATACGCCTTCAAGAATTTTCACATTTGTAATTATCTTCTTATCCATGTTTTATTTAGCTTAAATACATGTTATACAAACCTTCTTTTTTTCTAAAGTCTTATAAAAGACTTCTCTTTAACACACAATCATATGTCTTTTTTTAAATTAATATAAAGTATCTTCTTTTGTAATATTATTTTTAGTAAAAAAGAAGTATATAGTTTTTGTTTATAGACCTTTCTACATAAAATGAAATTGATTATCTTCAATTCCAATTTCTTCTTAATTTATACTCCATCACCTTTTTTTTTATGACTTCATGTTATAATTCGTAAGTTTTATAACTCAATAATTCACAAAAAATACTAACATGTTAAAATTAGAATGTTGTAAACATAATCTAGCCACTTTTATCACAATTTTAATATATTATATATAAATATAATAGAACATTGAAATGAATTACTAATGGAGATGTTTTATGTGCATATCTTTCTTTAAAATATTTCAACCTATTTTCAATCTTCAACTATTTACGTGTCATTTGATATTGGTAAGTTCATAATTTTTTTAATTATCATGTCTTAAGATAAGTTATTTATGCTGTCAACTGTTATTTAGTTGTCTTATAAATTATATATTTAGTAAACTTCAATTCTTAAAGTTGAGTTCAACTAATTATAAACAGTAAATTTTTATTAAAAAATTAATAAAAAAATATAATATTTATTACACTTTTATATCTTTCAAATATTAAATAATTTTTTTTTCAATAAAATTTATCACTTTTAATTACTTATACAGATTGAGGATAACATTTTATTCAATTGGCCAACAAGTAAAATCATATCCAACAAGATCATATTCATTTATTTGATGCCAATGGAGAACAATAGTATACGGCCCCTAATCCTGAACTAAGACCGTGGTGTCATTTTGCTAAGTGACAAGCAATATATACAAAGATCTCAGCAAAACTGAGAATAACCCTTCACTTTCTGAGCTAAGTATAGTGCATAGATTTTGACGAACCTTGAAAAAGGTCGAAAATACAAGTCTGGAGATCCTCCACAGTGTATTTGATATACTTTTCAGCAATGGTGGATGAGTGTCTCCCAGTGTATGTGCGATAAGCAGAAACCACTTTCTGGGAAACTGAAATTTGAAGTTCTTCACGAAGTTGAGGGTCAGGGATACACCACCCTGTCTGAGTCCTATATATTTCACCAAAGGCAGTGCTAAACTCTTTGCACCTTTTTTGCAAAGTTCTCTGTGAAACATTTGACACACTTCCATCTCTAAGCATAGAAAGTACTGAACCCCAAGTGACCATCTCGTAACTTTTAGCATCGCGTTGCAACCTCCCAGCATGCTGGCGAAGCCAGCGATCACCAAAGAAATGGCTTAGGTCAGAGGACTTAACCTTCTGCACCATGTAATGAATGTTATTCATCATGAAAATATTTTGCAAAGCCACATCTTTATATAACTTGGATTTGGTGCTTAAGTTGGATTCTAGAGCGTTTGTGATCGACCGAAAATGGCAAGCCATTGGACACAATGAGAGAGCTGGAGTGTCATGTTTATTGCCTGAAGGATCAATAGAACTTTCATCAACAAGAAGGAGATTAAGGGTATCAGCATATCCACCTAGTGCCATGATGTAATTCATCACATACTTGGTAATCTGGTGAACACCCCCTCCAGGAAAACGGGTCTTTGATGGGTTAGTTGCAATGGCATTTCTGAATGCCTTAAGTGTAGACTTTACAGCATCACCAAACCTCCTTAAAAGCTTGTGAAACTCTCCCCTAACAAAAGAACCAACTTCTTCAAAGAACAAGATGTCCACATCCACAGAAAGATGCTCCAAAACCTCATACATGTTTAGAAAAGAAAACAACTTTTCTGGTGTGTGTGTTGACATTGCCACTGCCTCACCAAAATTCAGAAGGTGCAACATAAAACTCTGAGATATTTCAGAAAAGCAAAATTGATAAAATGAACCAAAGTCTCCAAGGAGCTGCTTACACAAACGTTTTTCGCTAACAAGATATCCCCTAATAATGATCTTCATGGCGCGAATCCATTTCTTTATCTCATGGTTTAAGCAATGCCACTCCAATTTTAGCACATTCTCAATGCTTAATTTCTCCATCTCAAGAATGACAAAGTACTCAGCCAAGGCATCCCTCCTGGATGTGACAAAGACCTGACAGAATTCCTGATGGTATTTTGAAGCAAACATGACATTTGCAATGGTCTTTAGATCTTGAAGCATTGCTGGATTCACCAAATCAACAGTGCTCGCCTGGGATTGATTACCGCCACTACTCCGGGATGCCTCCTCGATTTTTTCACCCTCAATTGAACCAAATGATTCATCATACACCATATCCATCCTATTAGAAAAGAAAGACATGTATTCAGGCTCAAAATATTGCTTATGTTGAACAAAAATGTGGACTAACTCTTCCTCAAGCCTTGACATAGCAACCTGTAGAATCCCATTGGCGCGCTGAAGAAGTTCCTTCTGCTTCCAATTCTCTTTCAGAGAAAGGTTTTGCAAACTCAGAGTCAGAGCTTGGATATCACCAACAACTTTCAAATACTCAGAAGACTCACTAGGACTAGAATCCCATATCATGGAGCGGTTTGTCTCCCACCTCATTACTGTGTCTTCAGCACACTTAAGTTGCCTCTCTAATTGCTTCATGCCCCTTTCATTTCTCTCATTGACTATGGACATCGTAGACAACTGGGTCACAATATCCAACAGCGTTTTCCTCATGTCATCAGAAACCGTCTTACTTGCTGCTAGTGCCTTCAAAATGTGCTGAGCAGCAGCAACCACATGTTGGTCCTCTTCACAGGAAGTGACAACAGATTTATGTCCCTCCATACTGGCCAAGAGGAACCAGCAAGAAGAAATCCAGACCAGAATGCACCCCTCTACAACTGAAAAGGACTATTTCATCTCCGATTCAAAATCATTATCCACTGTATACACAAAAGGAAAACAGTGATAGCAGCAAGAGCTTACCTAAAAGGAAGCTTGGAAATAAATGAAGAATATACTGCTTTGTCCTTAAAGGAACAATAATTGAAGGATTGTAAATGGTTTAAACTTCGAAGTTTAAACCCTGCATCTGAAAATTATCAAAAAGATGAGGACATAGCTGGATAATTTGAAAGAACTATTTTAACTTTTCATGCCCTTTTTCATTATCAGAAATACAAAGTAACAAGGACAAGTCCCAACTCTTATAAAGAACTCTATGCAAGTAAGAGGCTTGATGATCATTTGCATAGTACACAAACAGAAACCACAACTTCTAAACTCAAAATCTCATAAACAAAATTGCACAAGAAATGGAAAACTCAACCAATTGACCCTCACATAAACACCTTACCTCCCAATCAATAATCAATAATAAATAACTCCAAAAAAACTTCTCTTTTTTATTTTAGTTTCAATAAAAAGACACTGAAAATCACATGCAGTCCATACATATAGAAACGTGACAGATAAAAGAACTGCAAATCATAAGAAAGGACCAACAACCAAAAGAAATCTGAGACAGAGATGTAACCAAGCAGAGAGTTAAGAAAAAAAAAGGATTTTAATTAGTGGAAATTTGAGAAGAGAAAGGTGAAATATCTCGGGTGCAAGAAAAAAAAAAAAAAAGGAAATTGTGGAGGAGAAGCTTTGTTATTTGCTCTCCAAGTTTTCTCTCTCTGGTCTCTACATAATTTCCCCAATCTGTGGCTTTTGACTTTTGACTTACATATTCATAGAATAAAACGAAGAAATTAACGAGAAAGTGAGCACCAGTCAACATGCGCGTGTGCTTCCTCATCTTGTTTTCCCACACGTTAGTACCTACCATTTTCAATTATTAATACTCCTATATATTACTAGATATTAGATAAAATTTCAAATGTTCTATACCAAACTCACGAAAAAGCTTACTTTTTTTGTTCATTTTTCTGTGTTTAATATATTTTTAGTTTATATACTTTGGTATAGCTATAATTTTAATATCTTAAATTTTAATTGTATATTTATTTTTGGTAATTTTAATTATTAAATTAAGTCTATTATCTAAAATTTTTATTAAAAGATAATGAAAATGTAATAAAGATGTGATGTACCATTAATTTTTATAAATTCATAAAGAAAATAAATTAAATAATTATTTTTTATTTATATATTTTATTTTTTATTTTAATGTTTTTATATATGTATTATCACGATCCCCTTTTTATAAAAGATCTATAACATGTTAAATCATTTATTTCAGTATTAAATATCTGCATTTTAAAAGAGGATTAAAATTTAATAAAACGTAGAAGTCCAACATTTAGTAACGAAATAAGGCCGTATACTAATAGGAAATAGAAACTTTAGAGAAGAGAAACCCAAGAAATAAGAAGTAGAGTTAGAGAACGAAATCTCAGGAGCTCATTGAGTTCTGCACTAAACAAAGGTTCCCACTTGGATAGGGAAAAAGTTCAGCCTTGAATGAGAGAAGAAGGCTATCTGGTGAGAAATGGACGTTTCTCTATGATGTAGTTCCTTAAATACCCCTCCAAGCCTGCGTGCTCTCGGTTGAGCGAGCTAATCCTCACTTAAGAAAGCCTTGCTCTCGCCTGGGTGAGAAAACTAGACAGTGGAACTCCTTAAATTTTTGCTATTCTCACTTGAACAAGGAACATCTCGCCTGAGCAAGAAACGTCTCGCTTGAGCGAGCAACATTCTCGCCTGAATGAGATTAAGTCCAACGAGCTACTCATTTTTCCTATGACTTCTCGCCTGAGCGAGCTTCTTTCGCTTGAGCGAGGTCGCTTCTCGCCTGAGCGAGATCGCTTCTCGCTTGGGCGAGGGGACAATTGAGGTGATCCTATCTAATCTCGCTTGAGCGAGAACACTCCAAAATGTCTAATTCAGCATGACTTAGTCTCGCTTGAGAAAGAATTACCTCGCCTAAGTGAGACACTGTGCACCTAGAACTCACAAGAGGGGCAATACAAGCCTTTGGCTACTATTCTTAGGTTAATACATTTAACATCCTCATTTTTGCTCCCTTCCACATTCACATGTGTAATATGATTCCCCTTTTTTCTCAAAGATAATTAAATGTATTTTACAAAATTTTATGATTTTGGTTAAAGAAATTTTGGGATAGAATATTTATTTTATTTCGTTCCAATAATTCGTCCTATTTGATTTTTTTAAGAGATAGATCTCAATGCGTGGGATTATTTGAAAATTCCATAATTATATTTGAGTTGCAATTGCTATATGCACTAGCAAAGGTGGTGTAGTAGTAGAAGGGTTAGTCCTTAGTTAGGAGTTGGAAGTCTCTGGTTTCAAACCTCAGCAAGGTAGATTTTGCTTCAACAAGTTTTTTTGGAATGAATTGTGAAATGACCAGACTGGCCTCAAAATATCATGCATGCATGAAATAGGTGGCAAAATATGGCGAACCCTACATGCGAGATGACATGTGTCAGCCACATGTCGCAAAAGGAAAATCTGTTACATGCGCGACACCATGTGTCAGCCACGTGTCAGTGAAGGAAGACCAGCCCTTGCATGCGTGACACACATGCAACAATATGTTGAAAGATTGACAAAACTAAAATTTATTCTTTCTCCCTCACCGTGTAAGCTCTCTCTCACACACTTTCTTTCGGTTCTCTTTTCTCTCCACCATTTCTGTTCATTTTCTGGTGACCCTTTGGCTGTAAACCGCCACCATTCATAGCCAAAGCCTTAAACACTTCCCTCTCCATGCATAAGCCAAGGTTCTTGCACCTCCTCCATGAAAAAGCTTGAAACCTCCCCATTCATCCACTATGTGAGACATTTTTTACCCTCTAAACTTGTTTTTCTGCACTCAATAACTCATATTTGAATTGTACTATGGAAAAGCTTTCAAACACAAGTGGTTTCACTCAAAACGGACATCAAATTCATAAGTTGTGGTAAAAACAGTGAGATCTCTTCCTTGCTCTGCGTTTTTGTGTTTCAACAGCAAAGGAGGCCACTTTTCTTTTTTCTCTGGTCTCCAAACTTGACATACAAGTATCCTTCTGTATTCCTTGCAGAAATACCTTTCCAACAGTATATCGTGGGCTTAAATTCGACATTGTTTGCCTCCTCAATCACCTATAGTACATGAGTGCCTTCATTCTTACATTTTAATGCAAAAACAGTATAAAGAATCAATTTTCATGCCCTCTGTACTAATCTCTTTCAATCTAAAATTTTAATTTTCATAAACTACATAAAGATAGCTTTTCGACGCACTATCTCAAGCTTGATTTGGATTTCGTTTCACACCTCAACAACTTAATTCTGTAAGTATGATCCAAGCTGAATTTTGCTAGTCCAACAGCCACTGTTCTTCAATTTTTGGGAGAATTTCATGCAAAGAAACTGACATGTAAACCTTCCATCTTGTTCCTTATTGTCTCAGTTTTCTGACGCACTTTGCGGCTCATCAATCGGACTCCAATTGATCAAGATATGCGCAAAATGGTGAGACGCATGCAAAATTCAAAGCTTCATAGAGAAAGTCTGCATTTTTCACCTTGCATGAAATTTGTTCTACATTTTTCACTTGCTAAACCTACTTGTTTTTAACTTGACCTTATTCCTTCACATAATACACTTCATTAACTTTCCATAGCCACTTTCGGAGTAATATTTGGAGCAAAGATCAAGGAGAAAAACTTTTTTTTTACCATGATATATCCGATTCTGAAAAATTTATGAAAACAGTGAAAAGAATGTGTTTTTAAATCTCTCTTCATCCAGCTTTATGAACATTCATAAACACTTATGAAATCCTTGAAATTAGATCTTTCCAACAAGCTATCTTAAGCCCATTTTCGATCTCATTTGTTAAGTTGAAATGTCAGGACAAACAGAGGTCTCATTTCAAAAATCAGCAGACACACTCTACATTAATGTGAGTGTTGCGAACAATCTGTATTCCCAAAAATTTGAATGAACATATTTTTATAAAAATTAATGTCTTAGCTTTCAAACAAAATTGGTTGGACCTGATTTGAATCACAAATTAATGAGATATACAATTTTTAATGAAGTTGTCTCATAATTACATTTTCTCTGCTTTCTAACAAGCTATCCCAAGTTTGAATTGGATTCCATTTGCTTCCCTAAAGAACAAGGATAAGTCAGCAACTCATTCTCTAAATCGTGACAGTTTTACGTTTCCAAAGAACTATCTTGAGCACGATTTGGACACTATATCACTCAATTACACTCCATTTGGTAAGTGTACCGAAACTTGAAATTCTAGTTATTCAGAACTAAGCACCATGTTGTACCGATACTGTGTTTAGTTAACTAAAATTATTTGAGTTAGTTAAAAACCTCCTTTAATGAGCTTTGTGCCTGTATTCTTGAATGAGAAACGCATTGGTACCTCACGTACTTCATTCAGATACTAAACGCCTAAGTTATGGGCTCAATAGTAAGAACCGCTCGAAAAGGAAAATTAACGATCCCGTTGAGAAAAACGCGATTACAACCCAAACCAAGCTACAAATGGAGTGTCTTTCCTCACCAAGCTAAGTTACTCTCTGAGGTAGGGGGAAACTTTCATATGACTCGAGTTAGGAATTGATGGAATGGATAAGAATACACTTGATGAAATTATCAATGTTGTGTGTGGTTGAAAGCTCTTGAGAATTCCTCACTCTCTTGAGTTTATTGATATGTATTTGATATTGAGATTGATATGTTTGTTTATATTACTATGGTGCACATGTATGTGTGAAATTGTGTGATTAAATGCTAAGTTAAGCAACATTTCATGGTAAGTTTTAGACTTTTAAACTTGATGAATACCAAGGAGAATGGAAATTGTCCCCTACAACATAACACTAAATACACCAAAGCTAGTTGAATGAACTACGCCATAAATTGACATGTATATTCTATCACCTAGTAAAATCAAACCAAACTATGCTAGATAGAAACACCTAGGCAATTTATTTTTTATAATTTAGAAAAGGATATGACCTCTTGACTAGACTGTTGCTTAGGGAATCTAATGAACCACCGAGCCTCATAACTTTAAGTCATGCTAAGCTTAATTACACTAATTTATAATTTTAGTTTAAACAAGAAAATTGATAATAAGCAAGAAATTGGACAAGTTTAACAGATATTCCAATAATGGGTGAAAAAGGAAAGAGAAAATGAAGTCTCGATTTAGGTATCTAACCTTTTAGAAAATTTAATTGAATGTGGTGTAAGAATAGGAACAAAATGACTTAGGTTATATTTGATAAAATACTAGTCATGTTAACTATACCTGTGGATTTGGAAAATAATAATAATAATAATAAAATCTAAGTCCTTGTATATAGCAAAGTGTCTGATAAAAAGATTGAATGAACTACCATAAGGAAACTTAGACAAACCTAATGTAGGACGCCTATGAGGATAAAATCCACCTTTACTGGAGATCATTGAGGCATTGTGGTTTTGAATATGCTATTATTTGTATATGCATAAGCCTTGCACACATTGTGACATTTGAATATGAATGTGATGATTGCATGACTTTAAAGTCTGGTTTGGCACATGTGAATTGATGACCTATAACTGGTTGAAAGCATGTAGAGATGCATAGGTAGGTGAATTGAGGCCCCCATTGTGATTATGAGACCCTGAAAGGGTGTGTATGCGTTAATGAGAACGCATAGAGGGAATTGACATGTAAGT